AGCCAGAATCTAGACTATTAAATGAAACGGGTAACTTTGCTTCATACTAATGTAACTTCACAGGGTGGCAAAATGTTAACTCTTTTTTTTTTCCACAAAATACTTAAAATCAAGGTTCAAGGAAAAAAACCTAGGACCTTTAAGTACAATGAAAAAAGCAAGCAGCCTCAAAACACTTATTACTGTAACACTCTTTAGCTAACATCTATGCAGATATTTTGTTTTATTTCAAGCATGGAAATCAGCGTATTTGCTCAAGGATCCTGCTTTGACAGTTTGCTGGCTGAGCTGACAAGAAAAAAAAAAAGAGATGAAGCCTTAACAATAATCAAACAGCAACTAGGAAAGTTGTAGGCACCCTCATTTGACTTATTTTAGCTTCATAACAGCTAAATTAAAAACAGTTGAAACACAAACGATCTTATCTTTCCAAACTGAAGTCAGTCGAAGCATACTCTGAAGGACAAATGCCCGCCAAGCAAGTTTAAATATACCTGTAGCTGATTTCTAGATGGACAAAAATCAACAAATTGACAGTTAAGGACTAGTTCAGGTTAAATGGATTAAACAAATCCTGCCTTCCTTTAGCAAAGTATGAAGAAGTTTATACTTTACTTCACTATCTATATTCTCTGCTGTAAAAACTATACACATACACTTCTGAATTAGAATAGTAACTTTATACTTTCACTTTCTAGTAGTACAAAGATGTGCAGCAAAGTTTGCAAGATAAAATTGATTTTTTTTTAATGTTTTAATTTTCAAAATGAATATATTAAAAAGAAAGCTTATGTACATTTCAAAATGGTCCAGTTTTGTAAAAACATGTTTTCTAAAGCCAAGATGATAGGCAGAATTCGATCTGTTTCTTTATGAAAAAGTGAGGCAAGCTCTATTTTGAATAAGATAAATTTTCTTAAGACATATAAGGAAGATATGGTGGTGTGCTAAAGGTTATTGGCATGAGTTTAGGATGTTCACGTTACAAGTGTTGAAGGCATATCAGTGAGTTATTCAAGTTATCCAAAACAAGTGCCAAAACCTTCTACACTCAAGATAGTCTTTTCATATATAGTTATCCCAGCCTTTCACAAAGGAAAGTAAGGGCGGTCAGAAGTAATTTAGGATGCTTAAAAAAAACAGGTGGTCAATACCTTTTCTAAGAAAAGTGACAAATCTAGTTAAGTCCCTGGAAGGAATGCCCCATGTCTTTCAAGGACTACAAAGGGCACATTAAATAGTTAGTTGTCCTTAGACTATACATACCTGATATTTATTGGGGGCTGGGGGGGGAAGGGAGAGGGGACATCAAGAGCACTGGTAGAAAATTCAGGTTAAATTATCCACATAAGCTTTCACATACATATGGGAACATTCTAGATGGCTTTTATTTTAGTTACAGAATTAGCCAAACTTGTGTAACTATTGACTGTGCATTAGCTAATACATAACTTAGACGTAGCATTATACTAAATGGGCAGGCTTAGTATGAACTAACTGAGCATATACTAAATTAAATGGTTCAACCAAGGGTTCAAATTCACCACACAGTATAGTGGTGGCATAGCAGGCGCAATTCTGGCTCTACAAGTCAAACATGAAAACTAATTAGCTTTTGAAAGACACACTGGCAGGTCGTTATGGTTGAAATTCAGAAAGCTTTACCTGTTATCAACTTGTTTCAACATTAAAAAAAAAAAAAGAGGAACTTAAAAATAATCCTCTGTATTATTCCCAATCCACACATGCAGCATTGGTACTTATTAAGAGAAGGAGACAGCAAACCCAAATAATTTCTAGACTGTGTAAAATGCAGAGAGGTAACCAGGAAACATTCAGTTATATTTTTCAAGAAGTAAAATTGAAGACATTAGTGTTTCTAAAATTCCACTTCACCTGTTTCTTTGAGTTACAGGTTTCTCAAAAAACAAATATGGACACACAAATCATTAGAACAAGATACAGCTAGTTGAAAATATATTCTGCTTATAAAATTTACTACCACTTCAGAAGGACATTAAAAACATATATGTGTGCTATATATTATGTAAGCCATTAAATGGTCCCAGAATTAGATGCAGAATAAAAATAATAAAATATGCTTATTTCTGGATCAGATTTGACCTTCAAAAGAACTAATTGTTCACGTACATCCAAATGCTCAAACTGCCTTTTCAGGCAAAAGCAAACATCTTCCATTTTCTTTCACGTAGGAGGATTGCTACCTTCTTCAAAGGAGCAGCTTTTACCTTAAATTGAATAGGGGAGGGGAAACTGTGGTGTTCCAGCCTGTCGGGTGTGTTCAAACCCTGATCTTAAAATGCTCTCTGGCTCTTAGAATCAAACAGAAGTGTACCTGGTAACCGGAATACAATGTGTATACACACACAGTCTTTGATCAGTATCAGATCCTATTGAATACTAAACATATTTTTATTCTTTTCCCGTGGCCCAGTGGAAACCCATACCGCTCTGGGTCTCCAAAATATTTGTAGGCTTTTCTGCAGAAACAGGAAGCATGAATAAATAGCCAACTTCAGCAGCATTCCTCCCACTAATGCCATCATACATTGTTAACGGTGGTGTCAAGTGTGATTTGACTTAAAAATTCCTATGGCAACGTTGCAGACGACACAAAGGGGTGTCTGTGGGCTTAGTTAAGAAGGCTGCTTGGCAAACAAAGGGGCTCAATTGCATCTCCCTGCATTAATAACTGGTGTCCCACTGCCTCAGACTATGCAGATGGGAGGGGGCTTTGTCTGCAAAATGGAGCTCTCACCAGAATGGGAAGACTCGGGTTTCGGTGTTGTTTCTCCAAGAGGGTCATCCCTGGAGCTTGCCTCATAGGGATGAGGGCTCCCTTCCCCTTGGATGCCAAGAAGACATGAGACTCCCGCATAAAAACAAGACCATGTTTATTCAATACAGACATTTTCATTTAGACAAAGGAATCCTGTGACCCAGGAACACAGTTTGGACACTCCGGTACGAAGCGTAGAGATTTTTAATCAACAGCTGCTTGTCAGCCAGCCATTGGGAAGGTCTGTTTTTCTTCCTTTCTTTCTTTCATTAAAAAAAAGACCAACAAAAAACAGCATCTCTCTGGCACACGTGTGCGTGAGTCTGTGGATGCGTGAGCATGTGTCTGCTTGCGGGCAGGTGTCTCAGGCGCTACCTCCGGTGTCCAGCGCGCCTCGGACGTGGTTTGCTGGCGGCTCTTGGCCAGGCTCAGTCCAGCCGCTTCCCCGCGGGGAGATTCCCAGGTCAACCCGCTCCTCAGTCACAATGGAAAACAAGCCCTCTCCAAAGAGGCACCCCGCGCCTCCTCCCTGAGGGGGACGGAGGATTGCTGCCAACGGCTCGGGCCAGCCGGGCGGGGAAGGGGCGCGGGAGGGAGCCCTCCGCGGCGCGGCGCGGCCCTCCTGGAAAGGCAGGGGGGAAAAAAAGCACAACAACAAGCCGGCGCCTCCTCCGCGCTCCCGGCCCCGCAGGG